ATGATTATGAATAATCCACTACTTTTTATTTTCAGTTATTATGGTTTAGTGAAGTACTTTGCATAACCAATATAGGATCACTTCAAGAATTCATACAAATAAATTAAAACATAAGTCTGTTTTGGTTCAAAAAGTTTTTGAATCCATGCATGATTTTTTTACAATTTATATTTCTCATTAAATTAAAAAATTTTTTAGAGGCTGGCTTTCATGTTTTCAAAAATGTGTTTTATTTGAAATGCAAAGAGCGAGTGAGAACAAGGGCAAGATCAGCCTTCCATTTGCTAGTTGACTTTCCAAATGCCCTCCCATAGTCCATGTGATGTCGAACTTGTTTTTGAAGGCAGTAATCTGAATGGCAAGTCCCTTCGACTTATGTAAATAATAGAGTCATGGTTTCATCAGTGTGCATTCAGTGAAAAGCTCCTGCTTAATTCTAATTCAGCGCTTGCTTGTTTTCCTCAAACCAAGAATGTCAACTTGATGTCATTTGAATAAACTATAATTTCTCAGACTGTTCTTTTCAAAACTGTTTTGATGGTTGCACCTCTTTTCGGCTGGATGCCTAGACCGAAATTCTATTATATGATCTGGTGAGACCAGCTTTATGATATTTTCTTTTTAAAAACATTTTTTAAAGATTTATTTTTATTACAAAGTCAGATATACAGAGAGGAGGAGAGACAGAGAGGAAGATCTTCCATCTGATGATTCACTCCTCAAGTAAGTGCAATGGCCGGTGCTGTGCCGATCTGGAGCCAGGAGCCAGGAACTTTATTTTTATTGGAAAGACAGATTTACCGAGAGACAAAAGGAAAGATCTTCCATCCACTGGTTCACTCCCCAAGTAATCGCAATGGCCGGAGCTGAGCCAGGAGCTTCTTTCAGGTCTCCCACATGGGTGCAAGGTCCCAAGGCTTTGCGCCATCCTCTACTGCTTTCCCAGGCCACAAGCTGCTAGGTCACCATGTCGGGTCCTATAATATGTTCTTATGTTTATAATATATTCTCCTTTGTTTATAGCAGTATTGTCATTTAATAGTTAAAATAGTTTGGTTTAAAGAAGATAGATATCCCATCTGAAAGGGATATCTCTGTTAGCTACCTGATCTGATTTCACACTCTTTTCACCTGTACTCTGTTCTGCATGGATAATGTAAGAGAAAATTAGAATAAATTTTACTCATCAGCTGTAACATCTTCATTATCACCTTACATCTAGGCTAAATATGATCAGGTGACTGTCCCAAAATTCCATTTTTCTACCTTCTTCCAAAATAAACTTGTATGTTTTTGAGTATGTAAATTTGTATATACCTAATGTGTGCATTTGATGTTACTATAAAAGCAGTTTTGCACAAAACTAATAGAATATTGGCAAGAAAGAGCCCCTTCATGAATTGCAAAATCCTTTGAATATAATGGCACCTGTTGTTCTGTCTTCAGAAGATGGGTTTGTCACTTTCCGCTTGCAGCATCCGATCTTACTGAGTATTTATATCTTTTGGGTAGGGGATAGTTAATCTATGAAAAATGTTATGAACAAGTTTGTTCTCTTTTATAATGATATGCAATATAAAACCTAAGTATCTCCCACCAGATTTCATTTTCTTCATTTTTATTTTGCTGATATTGATTCCTCCCGAGGCTCATAAATGGTTGAAAACAAGAATGGAAATGCTAAAGCAACAGTGAATTGTGAAACCAATACTTCAGCTTTCACGTTCTGGTAATGTGACATGTGTTTGATCTTCCTAAGCCAGTTCTCAAAAGGCAGATATTATGTGTTTGCTCTGATTTGTGGTAACTAATATATGTGTACAAAGAAAGCATGTATGTGTATGAACTTGACATTTTGAGATGTGGTTCCTGTACATAGCCCTTGCTGATACTCCTGAGAGACAGTGAGCTTTTCTACTTCCTTCTTGTTGAATTCTTTATTTAGTGAAATGTTAAGCTGGTGACTGTAGATTCAAAGTATGCCATTGCAAAAATTAAAAGAAAAATAAGAAAAGAAGGAGAGGAAAGATTGGGCGTGAGTGCTATAGGAAGTCAGGGTAGGAGGTGTCATAGTTTCTTAAGAATGTACATATAAAGCACCAAATTTGTTCCCTTTAAATAAATAAAATTAAAAAAAATTCTTATATCAGCTAAGGTTGATATCATCCAGTTATCCTGTCATTTTTAATGATTTTCAACAATTGGCAGAAGCATTTTCTGCTCTATTATTCCTCACATCAGCATTTCAATATATTATTTTGTACTTGTGGAGACTATGGTAACTGCCCTGCCTCGGCTGCCGTATTTGCTCAGCCCTAGGGCAACACTGAACTCTGCTATGTCTGTGCAAGGCTTGAAGATAGCTGTTCTATTAATGATTCAAATATGAGTTAAGAAAAACAGTTATTTTTAAATGATCACATACATTGGCTTTCCTAAATTTGCTTTTTTTTTTTTTACATTATATTTGGAATTTAACAACACATCCTTCTTTACTATTGTAACTTTGCAGCTTTTGTTATATAATTTCTTTATTATGGAAACATAAAAGGAGGCAGTCCCAAAGGAATTACAAACTTCTAATATCCCACCTTGTGTGTAACTGAAAAAGATCTGCTGATTATGGTTTTATTAATTATTCATTAATTAGGATAATCTTCCATGGTTTATTTTTGTTGCAGTCATAAGACCATTACCTCATTTTCTATCTGTTGTGAAACTCTAAGATAAAGTTGACTAACTAAATATAATAGATATCGTATGTGTGAGAGTGTTTCAGCGACTCAAACTAATAAGCAGTGTTCATTACAGTAGAAACGTTCATTGTGCAGAGTAGCATTTCAGAGTGGTTTCCCTGTTTTGGTCAGGTCCCTGAAGTCTTCTGTATGATGCTTCATTGAGTTAGTTTGTTTTCAATATGAAAGAAATGAAACATTGCATCTTGAAAAGAATAGTATCTAGTTTAAATATTAGCATAATTCTGATGATTCCTGTTGTAATTAAGCAAACCATAATTTAATAATATCCTGTAATTTGCAGCTTTACTTTAATTTTCATATGTAAAGTTTCAACAGAAAGATATCTAACCCTTTCTAAAAATAGACCAGGTAATAAAATTTGAAGAAGACAAATGTATTCATTCTGGACTTGGTGTTCTGTGTTTTCATGTCTCCTTCTTAAAGAGTAAGATGTCAGTGCTTAGAAATTGCTGTAAAATAAGCATCAGGCGTGGGCTTGATGTGCCTAGATAGGCTTTCATCTGACTCTGGGAAAAAAAGCAAAGAGCCTCCTCAAAGTAGATTCTCAGCACAATGAATTCCATGCCAATATTGTGTATATCCTAGCTGAAAATTAACTTTTCAGTCAGGTTGAACAGAAAGAGAAATCCCACCCCAGAATCTATTTAGGTGCTGATTGGTTCAAATTAAGGGAGATGAATTAAAAATCTAAGGAACATGTAGAAGCAGAGTCCACTCTGGTGATTTTTAACCAGCTAGCTATCTGTTCTTGGCAATCATAATGAACTGTTGTTTTGAAATTGTTTACAACTGCAGAAGATCAATACATCTTTCCACCAGGAAGATGATTTAGACAGGGGAATGTTATCTGGTGTTGAGTGTGTGCATGGAAGCAGCTGCTTAAAACTCAGGATGTGTGTTTGTGTTTGATGGGCTAAGGATGTGCTGACGGTGGCAGCTATGTGCAGTCCACGTCTCTGATAATCTCCTCATCAAGCTCAAGCAGCCAGGTGGATTTCACCCCTGTCAGCTCAGGCTCTTGAATTCACATTTCATTTTTCATACTTCCCGTCGTGGAAGATCCTTGGTACTTTTCTTTTTTCAAAAGGAAAGTGACAACCGATTTTTAGAAATGGAAAGGGAAGGTAAGATGTATTTGCAAAGAAATTATTTTTAAGTTTTTGGCTTCTCTCATTTTAAAAATGGCTTTATTTGACTCTAAATTTTTAAAAATTGATCTATTTTAATAAATATTAATTGTAGAGAGAGAGAGAGTGAGAAAGAAAGAAAGTAAGAGAGATCTTCATCTGCTGGTTCAGCGCTCACAACTGGCAGGGCTGAGTCCGCTTGAAGTTAGGAGGCTTTAACTCCCTTCCGGTTTTCAGGCGAGTGCCAAGGGGCCACGGACTGTGCCATCATCTGCTGTCTCCCAGGGCACATTTGCAGGAAGTTGGATTGGAAGCAGAGCATCCCAGATTCCATATGGCCCTCTTATAGGGGATGCAGGCGATGCAACTGGAGGCTTAACCTACAGCATGACACCCTGCATCACCTGGCTTCTGTCAGGTCTTTGATTTTGTGTCTTAAACCGGTAAACACTATCTGCTCGGAGGAACGGTGACCTTGTCAGGAACTCTTCATCCACTGTTCATCTACTTTGGTTTTCTAAGATGGAGTGAGGGATGGTTTTGAATGAAAGAGCATTTTCATGTTATGTCTTGGTCTTTAATTAGATGAGAATATTTAAAATGCCAGATCAGCTTAGGAAAGCACAGCACGCATTAATGAAAAGAGTTAGCTGGGAACATATCTCCATGAGTTATGCATGTTAAAGTGTCAGAACAAGAAACCCAGTGAGCTTCTTGAAGTTAGGATTTTGTTATTCAAAGCAAGTGGGTGTTTAAAAATTCAAGTTATAAAAAATTAGGCCATTTATCAAATTTTGGCAGTTCTTTTTAAAGATCACCTTAGTACAGTATTGTAGCTAGTTTGAGGATGTTTTTCTAACTTAAAATCTAGCAGTCAGACCACTGCCATCATGCGAGAAGAAATCCAGGCTGTCAGTCCCTGTGAAACCACTAATCCCATGTTTGTGCACTGTGGAGTTCACAGAACAAAGAAAAGCAAATGTATAAAAATGAGTAGTATTTTAGATGGTAAAAATTACAAAAGTGGGGAAATAAGGTGGTGATGTCATTGGTGCTACTTCATGAATTTTATTTTTCCTTTCTACTTAAAAATTTGTTGTGTGTTTATAAACAGGGTCATTTTGGAATTCAGCTTCCTTCAACACGGAGGCTTCCTACCTTCATTTCCCTACCTTCCATGGCGAGCTCAGTGCTGACGTCTCGTTCTTTTTTAAGACGACTTCTTCCTCAGGGGTGTTTCTGGAGAACCTGGGCATCACCGATTTCATTCGAATCGAGCTACGCTGTAAGTGGCTTCTCCCAGAGAAGTCTATGGGGTTCTGTTATCTTGTAGTCAGTTCTTCAACTAGTTTTTAAAGTGTGTGTTTTTCTGCTTTATCAATTGCATGACTTTATTATGTCCTTTCAGTCCATTTCTATACTACCATGTCTTTTTGGTAGAAAATTAAGACATTTGCTATGCGATAATTTAGAGAAGTTATTGGTGTTTTTCAGAACCCAATTAGAAAGAATTTTAAATTCAAATAATTAAAATTTTTTAAAATTCCAATTAATTACAAAATTACTTAATTAAATCAGCCACTCATTTTGATTCACTCAGGCTGCTGCTAAGAGCTTACTGTCAAATGTAGATTTTATGTCTTAAAAATTACGCAAAAATCTACAATAACTATTTTTATATAAAATGCCAAGTGTTACTTATTTTTTAATAAATAGTTCTACTTTTTATCAATATGAAATTTATTTGGAGGGTGGATTTCTTAAAAAATGTGTCTTTTTTCCAGAAATTAATGTAAATTTTAACATCTCACATGTAAGAACACATGTTTATTTACTGATATTGTGGCTTTTCATAAAATTCAAACCAGTATATTTGAAAAAAAAATTTAAACTGATACATTAAAAATTGAATTTATGGGGTGTCAAAGATATTTCAACACGTGCAGAAACTGAGTAATGTTCAAATTCAAGCAAACCTGCGTCCTCTGCATTCACCATTTCTCTATCAGACCCTTAATATTTATTTTTTCTTAGTATCTATTCTTAATGTTTATTTATTTTTATTGGAAATGTGGATGTGCAGAGAGAAGGAGAGCCAGAGAGAAAGATCTTCCAACCACTGGTTTACTCCACAGGTGTGGCCACAATGGCCAGAGCTGAGCCCATCCAAAACCAGGAGCCAGGAGTCTCTTGCAGGCCTCCCATGTGGGAGGGTGCAGGGTCACCAAGCTGTGGGCTCTCCTCTGCTGCCTTCCCCAGCCACCGCAGAAAGCTGGATGGGAAGTGAAGCAGACGGGACATGAACTGGTGCCCACATGGGATGCTGGTGCATGCAAGGCGAGACTTTAGCCACTACACTATTGCTCTGTCTCTTGAACCCTGGCCTTTACCTGTGGTGGTTCTTAGGCCATGGCACTGCTGCTGATTGCACCATGGACTCAGCTCTGAGCCACGTGAACAGTCCTTAATATCTAACTTTTCCAGCTCCCACAGTTGTCACCTTCTCGTTTGACGTGGGGAATGGCCCTTTCGAAATCTCTGTGCAGTCACCCAGCCAGTTCAACGACAACCAGTGGCACCATGTGAGAGTTGAAAGGAACGTGAAAGAGGCTTCCATCCAAGTGGACCAGCTCTCCCCGAGGACACAGCCAGCCCCAGCGGACGGCCACATGCTCTTACAGCTCAACAGTCAGCTTTTTGTGGGTACGTTCCAATTTTAGGCAGTGGATCGTTTCATTATATCGTGTAACTGGGGGGAGGGGGAATGAAATAACACCACCTGTGAAAAGCATCATGACAACAAGCACTATTTCTCTGGAATCCATGCTGGAGACTGCCTGCTGCTTTGCTTCTTCCCTGTAGCCGTCCCATGGCTGCGTATTTCCCCAGATACACAGGTGACATACCTAGCTTGCATTCAGAAATCCTACTAATGAGTGAGACTCAGATTTGTGCTGGATAGATTCCTGAACTTGCGTATCTGTGTTTATTTAATATTACAGATCATTACCGACTGTATGTATAACATAATCCAGTGTGTATTATACTGGAAAGGTGTATCATGAAAGGCCTGCAGAATTCTTAAGGCCGGCTCCTTGTTATTCCATCTGATGCTATGCAGGCATTTCTTTGCTGATGCTGCATCAGAAACAGACCAATAGCAGGAAAGCATGACAAAGCCAGTGTCCCTCCCTGTGTTACAGACACACTCTGCCATTTCTGCTCATCTGGAGCACTTTTCTGACCCGTTCTGATCACTGCTTTGTAACTGTATCTAAGTGCTGTCCCTGTGTTCTCTGCGTTCTTCACATCTCAGACTTGCCCATGAAACCCTAGCGGGTGTGTTTGTTTTGTTTTTTATTTTTTCCTAGTTACTCTCCAGAACTTACGGGCTATGAAGTTCAAGGAATTATCTCTTCCTTGGCCCATTCTCATTCACTACAATAGTAATAAGAATTTAGTGATACCATAAAGCAGGATAAATGGTGAATTACCAGAAATCTTATTTTAAGCATTTTCAAGAGTTACATTTGGAACAAAATTTATTAGACCCCTATTACATAGATTGTCGCTTAACAACCTCATCTTGTTAGCGCTGTCTCAGCATAAAGAAGGAAGCTTATTTGTGACATATTTGACTAAGACATATTTAAGATTCCCAATGAATTTATGTGTTCATTATTTTGTATCATTTATTCTTTCTTTCATCCCATAAATATTTAATGAAGAGCCTCTATGAGTCAGGCACTAGGGTAGACAACCTAATCATGATTTTGTGACCACTAGACTGAGTTATTTAAGGCTATGGAAATAATAAAAAATACATGAGAAGAAATATATAACTTTTCTTTTAATAACATGCTAGAAGCAGAGTGAGAAAATTGACACAGATATTTCTTGAATTACAAAAAATGAGAGATGGCCACAACAAAAGGTATGGCAATTTAAAATCTGTCAGGAACTAGGAAATAGCCTTACTATTCTTGGAAATTGAGAGGGCTGAAATAGTCCTTGAATTTTTCAGTGAAATATGCTGCATTTTGCCTGTAGATGACCTTTCATCCTTGGTATGAATTTCAACTCTAGGGAGATGGAGCCACTGCATTTTACCTCTGATAGGAATCCTGGCCTTAATTTGGTTTCAGACAGTTGTAATGAAGTACTAATATGACATCAGAAAACTGTTTTAGAATGGTTCGAATCTTTTGGCATCACTCATGCAATGTGAGTTTAATGAGTATCTGAGAGATTTCATCTTTATGGAGGCAATTGGTTAGGCCTCCGACATCCCCATCTGTGCTTGGGTTGAAGGGTGGCTTTCGGACTTGAATGTCTTAAAAATGGAAATCTTGATTATTACTAAGTCAAAGTCATTGCAGATTTTAAAAAAAGAAAAAGTAAAGAGAAAGTTGCCAGCAAAAAGTTGTATCTCCTCTTAGTAAAATCTGATCATTAGAATGTCCCCCTTCCTGCTGACAGTGAACTGCGAGTAAGCAGGCATGGCTTAACGTGGTGAGACTTGACAGGACCCATGTAGGCTCACGGGCTCGGGTATGTCAGACTGTTGGCTGGGGAGAGGCTGTGGAAGAGGCTCGTGTTCCTCATTCCCTCTATCACGGAACAGAACGCTCCCTTAGGAGGGGGCTTCCACCAAGTGAGTAAAGCAATGCTTAGCAAACAAAATACTAATTTATCTATTTACAACATTGCAAGATACAGATATTTCCCCCTGTAGAAAGCTCAATGAAAGGCAAAGTATAATTAAAAAGTTACACTGATTTGCAGCACAGTGGGTGAAAAACTATTTAAAAATGACGGTAATTAGGGCTAATTTAATGAAGCACTTACTATGACCGAGAAGTCCTCTGCCTTTCTGAGTGTGTTTCAGTGTAACAAGCAAGTGGCTGTCAATAGGAACAATGAGAGAAAAGTTAGCTCTGTGTGTATGTTGTCCAGATAGAAGCAAATAAGCCCACACATATGGATGTACATTTTCAGAAAATGACAAGTGCAGTAAAGTAAAAGCAGAGTGAGGAATCAGGTGGTTATTTGGGTTGTGGGCTGAGGATGTTCCCTCTGAGGGTCTTAAAGCTTGAGCACAGGCAAAATGAGAGGGAAGAGGGAAGCAAGGGGAACATCAGAAACGAGAATTCCTGGCATCACGTTTAAGGTGATGGGGGAGATGGATTCAAGGATTAAGGAGAAAACCAGCGCTGCCCGATGGGAGCAGTGCTCAGCTACGTAGTGGGGTCTGTTAGGCCACAGCATGCGATGGCAGTTGAAGAGATCAAGCGACATCATCTAACTTATGCTTGTGAAGTTTTCCCTTACTACCCGGAGGAGGAAGGGGGGAGCGGATAGGTGGTCCTCCTGGAGATTTTTGGTGGTGTGGGCTCAAGCAGAGACACGGAAAGGCAGAGGCAGGGCTCTGACATGTGCACGGGCACACCTTACTGACGCAGGGCTGTTGCTGTGTGTGTCCCACCGCTCATCTGTGGTAATATGCTCTTGGGGGCAAGCTGCTTTCTTGCAGACTCTTGGTTTCTTCACATCATTGCCTGGGTTTAATTTCATCTGAAATTAGATATTCTTATTTCCTTCCTTTATTCTAATATGTAGCAATGGGTAAAGCTGATACCTGGTCCTGTAACCCAGGCTATATACCTGGGTTACAAACCATACAGCTACCATGGAAAACTCTTCGTCACCCAAGAAAACTATGTCACCTCCTTCAACAAGATGTCACCTTCCCCTCAAACGCTACTCATGCCAGATTTGACTCCTCTGTTCATTGATGGTGTGTGAGCACATGCCCTACGTAGAAAGGTCCTTTTGGAAGCTGCCTCCTCACATTTTCTTTTTTTTTTTTTTTGATTGATTGATTGTTGATTGATTAGAAAGGCCAACTTACAAAGAGAAGGAAAGACAAAAAGAAAGATCTTCCTTTCACTGGTTCACTTCACAAGTGACCACAATTGTCAGAACTGAGCTGATCCAAAGCCAGGAGCCAGGAGCTTCTTCCGGATCTCCCATGCGAGTGCAGGGTCCCAAGGCTTTGGGCCGTCATCGACTGCTTTCCCAGGCCACAGGCAGGGAGCTGGATGGGAAGCAGAGTAGCCAGGACATAAACCATCACCCATATGGCATCCTGGCACATGCAAGGTGAGGATTTCAGCCACTAAGTTACCATGCTGGGGCCATCTCCTCAAATCTTTTAAAAAGTTATTTTAATTATTTTGGAAAGGGAGATAGGGTGGAGGTGTAGGTTGGGGAATTTATCTTGCATCTCCTGGTTTGCTTCCTCATCAGTCACAATGGTGCTGGGCCAGACCAAACCAGGAGCCTGGAACTTCATCCTGGTCTCCATGTGAGTGGCAGAGGCCTGAAGTCTGGGCCATCTTCCACTGCTTTCCCTGGCATATTTCTAGGAAGCCAGACAGAAGTGAAAGAGCCAGGAAGGATACTCACAGGGAATGCCAGCTTCATGAGCAGTGGCTTAACTTCGTGTACCCCAATGCTGGCCCCTCCTCACATCTTAATATCTTCAACTATGCTCGAGTTTAGTTGTCTCCGGCCTCAGAACCAGGGATTTTATGGGTGAAAGAGAATCTCTGCTTTGATTCAATGTGATTAATTTTCTGGTTAAAATTTTAAAGGACAATTTATTTTCCCTTACTTACAAGTTCAGGGAGTAAATTTTGTAGCTCATCCGTCCATCTTAGCAATAATTATAACTCATTAGTGTTTTCGGGTGTGCGTAACGACGATCATTTATATTTGCATTTTGGGACAAATGAACGAGGTAAATGTGATTGTGAAAAGTAAGTCTGTGGTGTTCAGCATGACTTTATTCTAATTAAAATGTTTTAAATCTGGAGACAGATGATATTAATATTTTAAATTACTTCTTTATAAATGTGCAAAAAAAACTGCAAGACTAAGTTAGCTTTAGTCTAGGACAGATGGTGTTACTATCCTAACATTCAGTGGCTTTTTACCAAAAATGAAACACTTGTTTATAAACAAATTTGGTAGACAGTTCTCTTGCGGAGTGTCTCAGAAAAGAAGTTATGTGATCATACCCCAGATATAAGACATTAGAAATTTCAGTAACGTATAAAAATAGATTTTCCTGATATATTATCTTGAGCAGTGAGACCTACAATAAAATGTTGTAATATTTGCCTATAGGTTAAGTGTGATTTGCAATATATTCTCTGTATCATTGGTAAGGCCTGTATTGATATCACCTGTTAATATCACGGAGTTGTTTCCGTTATGTTTCTCTGAGAGGAGTTTTTGGTACTTGCTCGGAAGAGGCTTGTTCAATGGGCTAACACAAAGGGTGTGCTGCATTTTGTCCATGGCTCGCTGCTTCATCCTCTGCACCAAATTCCCCGCATGAAGTGTGTGTTCCCACCTTGGGTGAAACTCCAAGGCAAGATTAATGCTTTAATTTCTGAACAAAAAAAAAAATAAAACTTTAAAAACTGTGACCCAGTTGGGCAAAGTTATATATGACAATTGAAATTAGGAATAAGGAGATGATAAATGGAGCTTCAGAGCTCCGCATAGCATTGGTCTCTACCTGAAAAATAGAAAAGAGAAGGCTTTTTGTAAAATCACCCCCATAGTTCCAAGCATCAGAACAGCTATCTTCAGTTAATCTGAGCTGTAGGATGCCATGCAAAGGAAACAAGGAA